ACCGGCCATTTACTGAAGTGGTGAACTGAGGAGTTCAGAGCATGACAAGAGGTTTCCTAAGTGGAGGGAGATAAGACAAAGAGAGCTCTTCTTCCGAGGCACAGATTTTTATCATATCACACAAGCAAGCAGCTGAAAAGATTCCAGTCACAAAGCCCTGTGCTTTGAGAACGGGTTAGACTGCCTGCCCTTTCGTGCAAGACTGACTACCGGATGGGATCTGGGATGAAAACAAGTTCTTAAACAGGTTATACCTACTGCTATGGCTTGCAGACATTATCAGATGCTGAATTCTTTTACATACCTAATTCTCTGTAGGTTCTGCCTGTCAGTCCCCACAAGGGAGCCAGAACATGTGCAGTGTGCAGCTGTATTCAGCCATCACTTGGACGAACATTACCTTGAAAACCATGAACGCAAAAACCACCCCCACTAGATTGGCTCAATGTTGAGTGGCAGAGGTAGTATTTTATTTTTTTGAGCATCCCTCCTCAAGGACACTAAAGAGTTTGTAAAACATCACTAAACAAAACAACAAAAAAAACCCCCAACATTGCCAACAACAAAAATGCAAAACTGCCAAAAAGTAAACCACAGCAGCATTCAAATATTGGAAAACATAAGAGCTAAAGTGCTTGAGATAATTTCTTAATTACGCACAGTCTGAAGTCAAATCTTCCCCATATAAATGCTATTTTTCAATAGCACCTGCCTGGCTGCATAGGTTTCTTCACCAATCCATGGGAGGATAACACTACTAAGCCAGAGCCATTACCCAAAGGGGCTAGGAGCAACGTATTTCTTTCTATCCCTCATACTAAAAATAAGTTAATAAATAATATTCAAAGAAACACATTTTAAAGTTCAGGCAGCTGAAGTCGGACTTCAAGGAAAGTGACTGTACAGATTTCCCATGCACTGAAGTCACTAGCATGGCCTGAAGCTGAACAAAGCTTTGGTGGGATTTATAAAGTGCTGTCTTTTAGTATTTTATGTCTGTCTTTAGTAGTGTTTTTTTTTTTTTTTCAAACCAGCACCGGGGTTGTGAGTTAAAAAAATTCTGAAATAACAGACCAATTTTCAGTGGATGCTGGAGCCAGACAGACATAGCACAGTGCACACAAATATATTAAAAAAAAAAACAAACAAAACCACACCAAACCCAAAAACCTAAACAACAACAACAAAAAAACCCAAACCCAAAACCTAACTGATAAAACTTTTCATCCTTAAAAACAAACACCCACCAAGCACCAAGAGCAAATCTGAAAGCATCATCTGTCTCCCGGTCCCCTGGCTCATTCCAGCAAGGATGGTTACTACGTGATACAAGCTCAGCAGCAATGGTTGCGAGCCTGAGCCTGCAGGCACTCAGTGCAAAACTCTCCCGGTGTTCAGCCCCACGAGAGTGGTCCAGTTTTCACCGAAGCCAAAGGGAGCTCCCTACAGACTTCAGCAGACTTTGGATTGGCCCCATAGATTGATAGCGGGAGCAGGACCTCGTTTTACAGTCACTGTTTTTCTATCCAGCCACAAAAGCCACCCCCTGAAATTCCTGAAGGGGTTTTCAATCTTCCCCTCCATGCATGCATTTAACATCCATAACAGTTAATAGCAGTTACACATGCATATCAATGGGAGAAAAGTCCCAGTTGAGAGGAATTACTGGTAGTAAGAAAAGAAACCCAGTAGAAACGCTGGGAATTGCTGAAGACCCAACTCCCTTGAATAAATCCGTTTCCCTGTTTAACCAGCCGGCATCTGCCCGCCGGACCGTAATGCAGGAAGCTCTATAGTGTGTGTTTGTGTGTGCACGGGTGTGTGACGCGCGCGGGGTGAGCAAACGGGCGTCGTTCTGCAGCGCACGAGCCCGTCGGCAAGCCGCCTCCTGTCTCGGCGTCCCAGCAAGCGTCTCGAGCGCCGGCCCTCGCCGCTCTCACTTGTGAGCCGTGTTGTTGTAATCGTCCTGTGCCACGGTCGGCAGGGAATGGTCTATCCTGAACTCTTCCTCCAGCCCACCGGGCGCCTTCGCTGAATCCCCCCGGGCTGCGGGTTGGCGACTGTCCGCGCCGCCCCCCTCCAGCCCCAGGATCTGTCTCTGCACCAGCTTGGAATAAAGGCCGCCTTCTTCCATCAGCTCCTTGTGCGAGCCCTGCTGCACCACGCGGCCCTTGTCCAGCACAATGATGTTGTGTGCCTTCTCCACAGTGCTCAGCCTGTGAGCTATGACAAGCACCGTGTGGTTCTGCAAGTCGCCGTAAATCGCCTGCTGAATCTGCACAGGAGGAAAAGACGTTAGTGCCCAAGCATCGCTGGCTCTGCTTTGGAAGGAAGAACAGCAGCTTTGTGGTCTGTGTTAAGAAACCGCTGTATGGGAGCTTTGCTCTCCTCTGGCTACACGGAGGACACAAAACTCCCTGCAGCGCTACCAGCACCGGCATGTCCATCCCAGCTCCTGGCTCTCGCTGTGCAGCCCAAAAGACTGTCTCAGTCCAGCCAGCCTGCAGGTGCGGTATGCACACATGCACTGCCAGGTCTGATCCTGCAAGCTGGGTTCTTGTTAGAGCCGGGCCCCAAATTTGGAGGCCATGTGGTGTTGGCATGGACTGCAGGAAGCCAATACCTGGTAAATGCAGCTGCTCAGAAAAGTGGGGCTATATCCTGGGCATATCGAGGCAAAGCAAGAGAGCGTTGTTTTCTAGCCAAGAGACAGTGGCACTAAGGTCTAAAGGCAGGCAGATGGCCACCAGGCCACATGTCACACTGGCAACCGCGGCTAGCCAAAACCAGCCCCTGGCTGGCATCAGATACCGCACACATGGCTGAGGACCTGCAAGCCCCCGAGCTGCTCCAAGGTCAGATGCTTGCTCTGCCCCACACCGTGGGCTGGCAGCGCTCATCCTCCGCAACCGGGAGACGTGTCCTCACACCTCAACCTTGAGCTAGCTTTCCCTCGTGTCATTAAAGCAGCGAGGCCAAACTGCTACTGATAGAGCCATTTGGTTGTCACATCCCAGCCAGGTAAACCCAGCTCAATTCACAGAAAGCTCAGGGCCTTTCCTGCCAGCATGGTTTCTTTGGTGCCTCAGCTGGGATTTTAGCTCAGGCAGTCGTACTCTGCCTGCTGTGGTACCGTTTTTTTCAGGTCTTCCTCCGTATCCTGTCCTAAAAGGCTGCACAGTGCTGCTGTATGCTAATTAACACTTCCCACATTTCAAAAATCGGCAGAGATCCCCATCTCATCAGGTTTGTCAGGCGCTGGCTGCTGTGAGCACGTGATTATTCCCTTCGTGGTGGCTACAGCAGTGTTGGAAGCAAATTCCTGCTCAAGAATTAGCGTCTTACCCAGACCTCTGATTGCACCATGTCAAGACCAAGCTTGTCCACAGGCTGGAAATTGAAGCTACAGTCTTTCCTCCAAACCCAGATTGCCTCTTCGGCCCAAACACCTGAGTCACCTACTCACCGCATGTTCACTCTCCGCATCCAGTGCGCTCGTGGCTTCATCCAGGATTAGGATGGGGGGGGTTCGGATCAAGGCCCTGGCAATTGCCACTCTTTGTTTCTGGCCACCTGACAGCTGGGCTCCTTTTTCACCCACCTCTGTTGGGTCAAGAGAGAAAGGAAAGGGTCAAAATAAAAATCAAGAGCTGCCTTTAAGTTCAGCTCCCAGCCAGCAGCATCAGGATGGTGTCATGGTTTGAAGCAAAGACCAGGTAAACGCTTCTGCTTCTGCTCGCTTGGCAGAGCAGTTTAAATGAGTTAAACATCCCCAAAGCTGCAGCCCTTCCCTCCAGCAGCAAGTTCTCCACTGTTGTCCCAAGGTCTGAGGCACTGATGCTCACAGAAACGACAGAGAGAAGTCCCCGAGCCTGGGAGATCACCCAAACCCTGAGCCCCGCTCCTGCCCTGGCCCATGCAGCTGCATCGCTGCCACCTCTCCCTGCAAGCCAGGCTCTGGAGGGTGTGCAACCGAGGGAGCAGTGCAGGGAAACTGGGGCCTCTCTGCTGGCTCCCAGAAACACGAACCATCGTCAGTCAGACCTGCCTCCTCACAAAGTCCCACTGTCACAAACACATCAGCTTTTATTATTGTGCATTTATCACAGGTTTATTTTCTTCCTATGCAGGCAGGGTAGCACGCAGCTGACTGTTTGGGTTCTGGGCTTTTCTTCTGATCGCTGCACTGAAAAGCTGCGAGACTACCCATGCCGCATCTCCATAACATTGCCAGGCACCGGGAGCCAGACTGGTCCGGATGGGATGGGGGACACTCACCCTGCCGCCACAGAGCCGCAGCAGAAACGCTCTCCCGGTATGGGCTCAGAAATCCTGCGATAGCTCAGTCACCCCAAAAGGCAGCCAGGGTGCTGCACCTCCCCATGTAACCACCTCTACAGTGCCTCCGAGCTGGCACGGACTCATGTCCGTCACTACCTGCCTGACTTTCCACCCGAGGGGAGAGGTTCTGCCTTCCCTAGGAACAAAACGCTTTCAAGTGCAAATGGAGGGATTTTGGTACCTGTGTGGTAGCCATCTTGTAACTCCGTGATGAAGGTGTGTGCGTTGGCCTTCTGGGCAGCCTGAACAACCGACTCGAAGGAGGCTGAAGTTAAGCCGTAAGAAATATTATCTGCAATAGAGCGGGCAAACAGCACCGGCTCTTGACTCACCAGGGAGATCTGCACAAAAAAAAAAAGGGAAGAGCAGGTGGTGGGGAGCAGAAGACGCGCCAGCCAGTGTCTCAGATCATAGACATTTGTTCCTGCTGGGTAAGGACTCAAGCGGGCAGAGCCTCTCCATTAAACCAAGATACAGAAGTGCCTCAATGTGAGGTTCCAGTGAGGATGCTAAGGGCAGGGTGGCCAGCGGCAGCCCCAGGCCAGTTTGCATCGTCTGCTGGGAAGCTGTTTCGCAGGAAAGAAAACCGATGCTGGTATGTTGGCATCTGGGATGGGCTTCCCGCTCCAACACCCTGCTGCATTTTTCCTCCAGACCTGTCATTCCCATCACTGTTTGCTTTTCCCAGTATGGGAAACCAGTTGCTGGGACAAGAGAGGCTGGAGAGATCCTCTGCCAGGGTCTTACTGATTTTCTGTTCAAGGCCAGTAATCATGCTTGGGCCACGTGAATGAACCTTCCTGCATCTTTTAATCCAAAATTAGCAAGTTACAGACATAGCTGCTGCAATTCCCTAATTGCTTAGCAACAGCCTCCCTGTCCTACCTTACAGCTGTTGCTGCTCACTCTCACATTCAGCCTGCTTTGTCAAACACTCAATATTGAAATAAATTGAACCCTCCAAATTATTGGTCAGAACTGGGCATGAAGAGAGCCAGCAGGACATGGTCATATTTTAATTGACTTCTCCCCATGCTCCTAACACCACTCCAGGCTTTCTAAACTGAAAGCCTTGCTTGTCTTTTAATTTTCACTCAGTACGGGCAGGGAATGTAAATTAGTCACACTGACTTTGGCTTTCCAGCCTGTCTCTGATCAATTGTTTTCAGGTAAATGAGGCCATTCGCTCTGGGGGCAAACAAAGAAGGCAGTTACTTGCAGAGGAGATGAAGGCTGATCTGTGCTGACACAAGGATGAGAGCTGAGGGGCCTCGACCCCTCTCCTAGGCAAACCACCCAGCCCCTCCAGTGCTCCAGCTGCTGCCAGGATCCCAAGAGGTTTAATTCCCCATTAGCTGAGAATTACTTTAAGATCTTAACGTAGAAAGTGCTGGAGGAATGTAAAACACTTTTTTCCAAACCCAATTTAGACGATAATTAATCCAACAACCAAAAACATATTTCTACTGTGTTGGCCAAAAAATACAAAACAAAACATGTTTCGTGTTCTGTTTTCGGAAGACTTCCCCCTCCCCGTGAAACCACTCTCCATTCCTTCCCCTTCTGCCCCCACAAATTATCTGAATTCATTTCCTGGACCACCTCCAGCCTCCAGCTTTCTGGACATTTCAGGAGTTGCAAGATCAAATCCAAAGTAACATGCAACACTACCATCCATCCCCTCTGATCACAGCAGGCGATAACTAAAATACACGTATCAGTCGCTCGTACCACTGAGTGCAGGTACTTGTGATCGTACATGTTAATGGGACGCCCGTCCAGCAGCACCTCCCCGTCTTGCAGAGGGTAGAAGTTCTCCAGGATGTTGACACAGGAGCTCTTCCCACTCCCCGAAGGACCCACCAGTGCCGTCACTTTGCCGGGGTGCAGGGTGAAGGACACATTCTGCAACATGGATGGGAGAGCATGCTCAGGTCCTGGCTTTTCCCAGGGTTCTGGGGCAGTGGCTTGGGCACTGTGCAAGAAAGGTAGCCAAAATCTGGCCACGGTGACCCTCCATCTTGGTGATGTGCCACCTCAGCCATCTCTCCTGGCTCTGAGGAAGCAAGAAGCCTCCAAAATTGCTTCCAATTTGCCTGCTGATGTAGCAGGACCTCTAAAAACTGCAAAGCAAACTAATTTTTTTGCTGCTTCCCCCGGCCATGACCCCAGCCCCTCTCCCATGGAAACAGTCTGAAGACAGCTTGGCACAAAGCCCTGTACCATGCTGACGTGTTTAATGCCTGAGTGGGGAACAAGGGTTTTATTAATAAATCTCATTCCTTGTAAGGAAGGCTGGCCCTAAACACCTGCTGTTCCTTATAATCTGTTTTCCAGCATGCCATTGAGCGTGCCCTTACACATCTCCAAAAGTGCAGCTGACATTTCCGGCAGGCCGGGGATCGGTTATTGCTGCGATGGAAAAGCAGCGCGTGATGCCTCGTGGCAGGGAGTGCTCTGCACCCACGGGGCTCACCTGGAGGACCTGCGTTGCAGAGCGAGTGCGGTAGGAAAACGTCACGTTTCTGAACTCCACCTTCCCATCCACATGGTCTGGGGCCAGGGACCCATCATTCATCATTGTTGGCTTGCGGTCAATGAACTCGAACACCTTCTCAGCAGCTCCCACTCCCTGCATCAGGCCGCTGTAGACGGAGCCAACGGACTGGAAGGGAAGAGGCAATGGTGAGACCCTCCCATGTGATGGAAAAGGCAATCGGTGCGACTTGTAAGGAGAACGTTCTGAAGCGTTTCCAAGTCTATCATCTGACATTAACTACAGTCATCAGACACAGAAAGAGAAAGCTTTTCCCTGCATGCCGTGTACAGAGGGGATCTATGGACATATCCAGGGAAAGGGCATCTAAAGTGGTTTGTGCACGGGTAGACCCAGAGGGGAGCAGAAGAACGAAACAGATGGACTGGGAAGAGAAGACATGCGCCAGGAGATACATGACCCAAACTTCCACCAGAATCCTCCACCTATCTCTCTTTGCTCAAGACCAGCAGCTCCTCAACCCAATGGTTGAACAGAGTCCGTGTACAGCAGCACATCACACGAGCTCCCGAGGGCAGCTGGCTCGTTCCCTAACACGCATGTCTCAAATGCAGAGCAGCTTCAGGCTGCACCTTTCTAGACAACCGTTTGGCAGCTGATATGGCTGTTCCCTGCCAGGATACGGTCCTAGTGGATTTACCATTGTGCTTTCCCAACTACAACCGCTGCATGCTGACACTGGCTTCACTGGAATAACCCCCCTGTCACGTTGGCTCTTTTCAATATTAAGGCCAGAGCTGCAAAACAGCTTGTACTGCAACTGCCCCTCCCATCAGGAGGGAAAAAAAAAAAAAAAAGAACCCAAACCAAACCCAGCCCACACCAAAACCACAGCCTGGAAACACCACTGGAGCCTGCAGTCATCCGAACAGATGGTGAGAGCTGGGCATGCTGCCTCCAGCTTTGCTCTGCTGCTGTGCAAAGGCTGAAGTGCTGCCGAAACCACGCTTGGCTGTGAGGAAACCTCGACTTGATCATTTCTGCCTCAATTAGCCAAGCTTATGCCTTTGCAAGGGGAAGGCAGCCCTGGGTGGGCTCTACCATCCCACCCACAATCCCATCTTGCTAATGTGCTGCCAACGCAGCAGCTTGCAGCCTATTTCAGGGGAAAAAAAAAAAAAAAAGAAAAAAAAGTAATATAATTAAGTTTTTAATGAAGCCTGAAATTTAACAGGCAGCTTTGTAATCATGCCAGGAAATGTGCCTGAGAGGCAGCCAGGACTCTGCGCTTCAGTGGGGCCAGCCTGACCACTTTGGTCCCAATTGCCTTATCGGGGGATGAGCTGCTTTGGGCATGTTCAGGTTGCAAGGCCACAGCAGGAGGGGAGCAGGGAGTAGAGGGGAGAATCAGCCCACTGCTGGGCGAAGCCACAGTGCCAAAGAAATGCGTTGCAGGGAAGTCAACGCTGGCTCTAGCCCTGTGACTGCCCTGGGACCTTCTAGAAGACAAATATCATCTGGATACGCGGTAGCCCAGAGGGATAAACCAGACTCACCTCCATGCAGTCTCCTAAGACGAACTCATAAATGATGAAGGATATCAGGTTTCCGCTTGTCATTTGCCCTGAGATCACGAGGTGCCCACCGTAGTAAAGGATGCTGACCTGGACGACCAGGAGGGTCAGCTGAAAGCAAGAAAACACCCCAAAATCAGCAAGGACAACTGCATTTTGGTGCGTTTGTAATTACTCACACAACAGCCCACAATACATGTGCTGACATTTATTCTTTGAGCCCCAAACTGAGCATCTCTGACAGTGCACAGCTGACAGCCCTAGCAGTGAGCGTGGATATGAGAAGGGAAAAACAACTCAAGTACATGGGCTGATTTTAAGGCACTGGGCTGAGATCTTTCAACAAAACAGAAATCCAGAGGGGCAACAGCCAAGGAGGGAGAATTTATCTGAAATAAATTGTGTCTCATGATGCAAAAAAAGTGTCTCATGAACTTCTCTCTTGGACTAAGGTCCTCAAGCATAATAATCTACACTCAACTTATCCAACGCATGCAGTCACCTCACCACTAAAATAAACTTTCTGTTATATGAATGTGACACATTTCAATTTAGAACAGAAAAATCAAGCCAAGAGTTAATGCAAAAAATCCTCCTTGCGTGTACAAGTCCGTGAAGCATAACCTCAGCTCTTGCTGAAATCAGTGGGGGGGGTACCACCCACTCTAGAAAGGAGACAGATCAGCTCCAATGTGACAAATACCAGCCCCTGCCCTTATTCAGCCAGTTTTGTCCACACTGCCTGGGTGCTCAGAAAAGCGATGGTGCTCTGTGCGATGTTTGTGGGACAGGCTGTAAATTCACACAGACAAAAATACTGGGGGAAAAAATTCCTCCTTTATTGCTCTGCCACGATCTGACCTTAAGATCCGGTGTTCCCTCTGAGAAAGACTCTACCAGGGCTGTGCTAAATCCATCAGCTTCTTTCTATGTGAGCCCCACAGGAGCAGTTTTTGAGGGTTTTTGCTGCCTTTGACTCAGCAGGGTCTGTGCTGACCCAGTTCACGCTCCAGCTTCACCTTGGAGCTCAGGAATGACGCTAAAAATGCTCTGATTTTGCTTCCAGACTTGGGAAGCCATAAAGCCTGCCACGGCTGCACGAGTGCACCATAACTCGCAAACCCTTCACCAGAGCCTACTTAGATCCTTGAATGCGCGGAGATACGGGCAGCCTCACGTGAAGGTTTTGCACAGCCTTCGTTATCAGCCAAGGCAGGAGAAGTCCCAAACCATCTGGTCTTGAATGATGAAAAAGCATTTTGAAGAAAAAAAAAAAAAAAAGCCAAAAAACACCCCAAACCCCAGCAGCCTCCCCCTGCTACCACCCACACACAGAAAATCTGTTTCTGAGCAGAAGCTCAACCAACGCCGTGGCTGCTTCCCAGCCGGAGCCCCGGAGATGAGCTGGCACAGGCACGCAATGCAGCAACACAGAAACACAGGGTTTTCCACGACCTTGAGCAGTTATCAATTATATTCTTATTTGCAAGAGAAAACAGACCGTTCAGTGGCACGATGCAGCGCTGCCCTAAGGGGGAACGGAATATATTTTTTGATGAGTGGAAAAAAACCCAAACCCTTAAGAGACAGGGGATTACAGGCAGCGGACATCAAGGCTGGGCTTGCCACGCAAAGCTGGAAGCAGAGGAGACGCATGCACATCATGCCATGTGTGTTTTGGGATCCGAAGGAATGTCCCCTGCCCGTCCCCAGCCCCTCAGGGGGAAGCCTTGGCGCTGGCCACCTACCCCGCTGGACCAGACGTAGTAGGTGTAAGCCATGGCCTCCCGCTTGTTGAGTTTGTACACCTGCTGCAGCTTCTGCCAGTACACGTTCGCCTCCGCCTCCTCGTTGGCAAAACTGCGGACGGTCTTCATGGCGGAGATGGTCTCCTCAGCGGTGTTGTTGGCCTTGGCCAGGGCGTTCTGCACATCCTTGGAGAGCTTCTGCGGGGAGCGGGGGGAGGCAGAGGGGGCTCAGTGGGTGCCAGGCTGCCCATGGCACCTCTCCCTGCATGCCCCGGGCCCTGCTGGGCTCAGGAAAAGAAGGCACGGTGACATTTTCCAAGGCCTTGGGCAACAAGGCTGAGCTGAGGATATATCCCACACCTCAGGACAGCCTGGGCCACTGTGCCAGGAGGGGAATGGATGTTGTGCTGTCTCTGAGGAAGGGACCTGGGCTGCAGGAGGTGAAGTGCTGTGCTCAGGGCCACTTGGGAAGCCTGCGGCAGAGCCGCTGCTCCCAGTGCCCTGATGGGACAGGGTCAGCCTGGCCCAGGAGCCCTTCCAGGAGCTTCCAAGTCAGGGAAAGGTCTGGAGACCGAAGGCAGCTCCACTCCTCCCATGAGCGCCTGATCCACAGGAGGAGCTGTGGCCAGGGGAGGCAGCACCCAAGGACCCCACTTTGGCAGCACCCATGCACGCCATGTCCCCGGCACAATGGAAAGCTCCAGTAACTGACATGGGGATCAGCAGTGCAGGACTCACATGGTCCATGGGACGCGGTATTAGCCACAGGGGAAGGCCCTTGGCCCATGCTAGCCCCAGGCGGAGGGAGGGAGCTCAGCACTGGCTTTAACCCCCACCCGAGTCACTCCAAAGGGAGAGGAGAGGACAGATTGCACGAGGACAGGCAGGCACATACACAACATCCCATGGCCAAGCTACCTCTCTTGTCAGACCTGAGATGCTTCCACTCCTGAGCATGAAGCAAGGTAAGAGCCAAGGCTATGCTTGTCTGCCCACACAGGTTCAATGCTGCCTTCCTGCCCCCATTGCTGGCAGCAAAGCACCTGAGCATCAGTCCCACTGGCTCCAAGGCCATCCACAATCTCCACAATGGCTTCATGAGGGGAAGAGCCCAGCATTACGGCACACCACAGCCATGCCAGCTTCTCCTGCCTACCTTGTAGTACTTCCCATAGACATCAGACACCAGCATGATGATGGGGAAGCCCATGAAGGTGACGAGCGAGAGCTTCCAGGAGAGGCTGAACATGAAGAAGATCACCCCCGTGGCCTTCACCACGTTGCGCAGGAAGATGTTGATGTTCTGGGAGACCAGGTCACTCACGATGGTCGTGTCCGATGTCAGGCGGGAGATGATGTCCCCTGCAGCAACGAGGGGTTGGGGAAGGGGAGAGCAAGGACATGTCACCACAGCAGGTCACTGCCTAGACGCATCCTGTGTCCCATGCCAGGAGCCAAACGGAGCTCCCCTTTCAACCCACCCCTCGCTGGGGGTCTGAAGGGAGGCATGGAAGGGAGGTGACTCTCCATTGTTGTGGATGTGAAGCAAAACAGAGGAGCTTGGATTGCTGCATGCACGAGGGACATGAAATGCATCTGAAGGCATGAGCTACATCCCTGGGTCACCAAGGGTGGCTGCAGGACAGCAAAGGGGACTGTGGCAGCACTCTACACCGGAGGGCACCCTGTGGGCATGCAGACAGGCAGTGGGCATGGAGGTATGAGAGCTGTCAACCCAGCCCTGAGTTAATTTCTAAATGATGCCAGGAGCCCTCCAGGAGCTTGCCAGGCACTGCTGGTACCTTTCCCTGCCATCCTGGCAGGACCAGCCAGGGCCAGGCACAGCACGCCCTGTGGAGGAGCACAAGGTGGCTTCGGAGAGGGCTGTTTGGGTTTAGCCATGTGCCCCGCAGCCTGGAGCCGACCGAAGTGACCCTGAGGATGTGGGACTAGCTACCAAGGGGGAAAGCTCCTGTGGTGTCCTTTGGTGGAACTGAATGTTACAGCCAGCAAACATCACCCTGAATTCCCAAATAGGTGGCCCGTGTTTGAGTCCACCTGAACTCCCAAGCTTTTGTGTAAGTGTTAGTCCTGGGTTACCCGTATCCCACTTACAATAACATCTCCGGTGTCCTCAGCTACCAGGGCACCATGCAGCGATTGCTAAATATGGCAACAGCCTCAAAACTAAAAATATCACCGAGAAAAAATTAAATGTGGGAAAAGTTACAGCGGGCTGGGACCACACCAGAGTGGCACGGACCAGGACATGACTGAATGGCAAGCAGGGAAAGCCACAAGCATGCCCAGCAAGCTTCACACATCTGAGGTTCCCCATGCCCAGAGCAGAGCTGGAGAGCGGCCGACCAGCAGGCACTGATGGGAGGTACGGGAGAAGGAAAGTAGGTGTGTCGGGGACTACCGGAGATGAACACGTCAGCCTCGGGGCTGCTGGATGTCAGGCTGATCGGTGGCAATGGGACATCCCCAGGGTGCTGGGCAATCCTGTCCCAACTCCATGGTGGGAGGCACCCAAAAGGGAAGAGCTTTCCGCCACTCTTCCTGAACACAAGCATTTGGGTGCCATCTCTAGCTGCCCCCAATCTGCTATGTGCTGGTAGGGCAAACCAAGGGGGAAAAAAATACCAGGATGGGATAGAGGGGTTAGAGCACATCTGGGGGAAAGAGGAACCAACCTGTGCGATTCTCATCAAAGAAACTCATCTCCTGAGACACCAGTGACCTGAAGAGGCGGTTGCGAAGGCGAATGTTCAGTCTTGCAAATATGAGCGTAAAAACGCCGCCCCGGATACCTGCGGCAAATGAGCTAATTGCAGATAAGAAACGTTATAGACCAATGGACACGAAACCCGCTCCTCAGCAACACAAACACCCCGACGCCCGGGCCAAGGGCTTGGGCAATGCCGTGCTGGTAGCACTTTCCACCCTGGGAAGCGATGGCTAATCCAGCCCACGCCTCCTCTGGGCACTATCAGCATGGTGATGGCTGGTTTTAACCCTGGTAGTAACAAGCTTTGGGAGGGGACAGAGTGCCAGTGTTCCCCGGGGAGCCCGTCCCCTGTGTCTGCTCCCGCTCCCCCACCACCAGCAGACGGACATGGAGGGCTACGTAACGGCCTCGTGACTGCCACCACAGCCTCTCTGCACCGCAACGGCACAGAGAAATCAAAAGTGCATCCCTGGGGTCTGGCAGGGACCCGGCGGAGCAGCTGCAGGTGAGACAGCCCATGCCCATCACTGCCACCATGAGCTCCTGCGGGAAAACCCCAAATTCCTCTTCGTCAGGGCCAAAACCAGCCCCTGCGATTACCTTCCTATGGCGAGCAGCGACATGACCAGCACTGCCGTGGAGAAGCGGTCCATGCTCTTCTGCACCACGATGCCATCGATGGCCAGCCCCGTGTAGTAGGGCAACAAGGTCTCTCCTGCCAGACAAGCACAGGACATGGGGTTTCAGCCCCACCGCACGGCATCGGCACAGGACTTGCATTTCCAACTGTGACGGCCCGTGGACAACCCCATCCCCAACATGGAGATACTTGGCCGTTGCATGAGGTGTCTCAGGAGGCACAGCCCTTAGTGACACATACAGATGTTTCATTTCCCAGTGTATTTCATCCCCTGTTGCATTTTTTCTGCCCCATTGCATTTTTCACCCAGCCCGTGCAGGACATGCCACCCAGCACACCCAAAAAA